AGCTTAGTTGAAAACTTATTACTTAATTGATCATTCTACGGTTTCTTATTGCATAGATTATTAATAGCATTGAACATTGATCGTATTACTTGGGCTAAAAATGGCATTCTATTGAAGTGTTCTGTAGCGCCTATTTTTAAGAGAATATTTATCACATCCAGTAAATTATTAAAGACTTTAACAAAACCCACTATTTAAGTGAAGTTTATGTGAATTACTATTTGAGTTAGCAGCAGCTAGTATTGTTCACCTTGTCTATTTGTTGTCCCTGTTTGCTGGATTTAGTTATGTGTACTAGTTAATGTAGCGTTCTAGTTTTGATAGCCCAAAAATAGTCTCTACGCGGTAACCAATCCATACACAGTTCACTGACTGTATGAAGTCGTCTGAATGTTGCGTTTAAACACCTAAGAATGTCTGACACGCTTCATATTCATTTTATGCACTATAGCTTCGAAGTTAATTGAAATAGGTCCCTAACTTAAAAGTAAATAACTGGTAGGTGGAAGTTGCATTTAACTTTCTATTCAGTTTCATATATCACTCATGTGTTCTAAATTGTGATAACATGAACCGATTCACTAAAGTTTGAAGTCTCATCTTCCTATCATATAATAGTTATTTTGGAGGCTCATTCTTACCATTCTAAGTGCATATTATTAAAGGAATTCCACAATGATACAATAGTAATATTCATTATGATAACATACAGATAATCAATCTTAAAATTAACTTAATGTACATATAACAGCTCTACTTCCAGTATAACCTCTTCATTATTACCTCTTAACTCATAGAGTCGTTGGTTTCCATGATTTCAGGGATGCGGATTTCAACCTTCAAATCATCAAATGGTTCAATGATTCTTGGTCCCCATCTTCTCCCTTATCCTTGCATCGTTTAGTTCAAATGAGTGATAGGAAACCAGGCGAATGGTGTGGGCCAGCTTCAATTTGTTCAGCAATCTTGCATGTGATGGCAAAAGGAAGTGCTTTGGATAACCGTTTGAACCAAGTTCAAGTGTATTTCGCTCGTGATAGAGTTATATACCGTGAGGTGGTCACAGATTAATTGGAATCTTTTGAGTATTTATGTTATATCATATATATTCGAAGTAGGCATGAGTTAAGATTATTTTCTGAGACTGGTCATAAAAAGTTTATTTATCTGGAGCAGAAACTCATACTCGAAGCTAAAGATTTCTATAATTTCGCTGAGTCAAGAGTTTAGTTTCTAACAACCGTACCTTTCTCAAACTACCCAGAGACTTTTTGTACTACACCTCATCTATCATACCACGTTATTCATTTGCGTAAATTATGTTCACATTGTTGCAGATTCGCAAAAGTGTTAACCGATTTATATTCCTTAGTAGCAATTCTGGAACACAGTTATTTCACTATTATTTTATTGCCACAAGATGTATAATATTGTAAAATAGTAACTTGCTTCCCTTTTTCTACTATAAACTTGTCTATGCTAGTTCCTAGATAATTTATAAGTCACTCTCCTAATTATTTTCACTTAGTTGAGATTAGTAAAAGCGTTCCACAATTTCCGATCAGTTTATCATTTCATTTTGATTCCTTTCAAGTGATTATATTCTCATTTAATGCAGATCTAATATCCAGTTATTTGATATAATCGCCATTTAATTTCAACGTCTTTATGAGGATTCATTCCTTAGATGAAGACAAGTTGTATACAGAGTGTAAGATTTTGTGACCTATCTTCTGTTATTTATTTCAGTAATCTGTTAAATGTTGAAGTACGAGTGCAGAGTCAAAGATGTAAGAAAGTACGGCTTCTGTAAGCTAATAGTCCACTCGGATATTCTAGAATTAATTTATGCCATCAGCTGGTCTGAGAATGGTTTTCGTCACAAAATTATTACTATTTCAATCTAGAAAGCACTGAACTTATACTTCATTGTATTCGAAAATTCAACCTTGCTGATTCATTACCCTACATTGAAATTAAAATATGTTTTAGGTCTCACGGCAAGCACATTATCCTTAGATGAACTAAGCCGGAATCCATTAATTTATGATTCCGACCTAAGTAAGAATTATGTGAAAGGGAAACCTAAGATTTCTTGTCTTCGCAGTTCATCATTCTTTGAGTATGATTCTATCACCAGTATTCCCTGTCAGCAATCTTTATTATCTCCCTAAGTTGGCTTATTCTCTTATGTCGTCAATCATCATAAAATAAGACCACTTTGTTTTAAATGAAATTATCATCTTTTTACTTTCATACAAGGAAATTATGGATCTTGCTAAAGGATCACACACTTTGTATCAGTGTCAACCGAAAATATATTACACCGATCATACAGCCCTACATCGTTTACAATCTAATCGAACCAACGGTAAGTACGTTAAACTAATTAATTACACTAACTATAAATTCGACTTCTTTTAAACATATCTGTATATTTGAAGTTTGGATTTTATTCGTAAATCATTTTTTCTATGTATGAGATTATAGAAATAAATAAATAGTAATAATAGGTCGGTGGATAAATGGTTGGCTATTAATTGAATACGAAGTTCATCAATCTTGAACATACAACTCCGTATATATGTCCATCCACTCAAGTTATTTCATATCAGTTCAATGAAAGTAAATTTATAAGTATATGAGGTTTGTGGAGATTATTGAATGTTACTACTTTCACGAACTAATCTAAATTAGATAACTGGCAGGCACAAAACAGCTGTTCCACCCTAGCATGTGCACCGTCGACCCCAATAAGAATCGAACTCAGGACGTCTGATCTCTTAACGAACGCTGTACCTCATAACCACTTAGCTTTCTTCAAATGATTTACGTGCCTAGTCTCATTCAACTCCCAATACTGAACAATCATTTTCGATTGTCTCCTGTGGTTTACTACTAACCCAGATCTGATACATCTGAAATTCAACGGTCATGATTTTTAGCTGAAATCCCGGAATTTTCTCGAAATGAGTCACTAGTGAACTCGTGATAATTTTAATCACGGGGGCTAAGTCTGGTGAAGATTATTGAATGTTATCGATAATGATATTGATTAGTGATTGTGTAGTATCGCAAATTAACCGAAATTAAACAAGTTCATTATTGGTTACTGACTCAGTGGTCAAGCGTTCACAGCAAGACTGAAGGTGCTGATTTCATTCTTAGTAAAGTTGTGGATACACTTGCCATGCCAGGACAAAACAGCTGTCCAGACCTTTCCAGTTCTTAGTGGAAGTTTAATTCAGGTTGAAAGGAAATATTATGTAAAAAGCCTAGTCGGAAAATGTGTCAGTTTACAACAAAACATGAAATATTTCTAGAGTAGAATGAATGAAAAATATTGGATATTTTACTCAATTTCTTTATGTAATTATATTTTTTCCTATCATCCTGAAGAAAACAGTATAGATTCACGTAGCTCTGGACCAACAGCTATCTTATTACTTATACCACTGATGTTCGGAAAAGAAAATCGCATTAATCCACGTTATATTCAAGTGGTACTACGTCTATTTTCAGATCCAGCGTTTGTAGGCTTGATAGGTGGTCGCCGAAAACATTCCAGCTACTATGTCGGTTGTCAAAATAATTCGTTAATTTACCTAGATCCACATTTTAGTCAACCAGCTCAAAAACTGAATTCCTCTACATTTTCAGTCGATGTAAGTATACTTTGCTGATTAGAGTGTAATGTTTAATTCAGTTTTGGGTATAAATATAGTTTTTTCAATGAAAGTACGATTTGACATACTGGGGATATAGGTGCAACTTGTAAAATATTTACATATTAAGACCTATCTACCGAGATAAAGCATTTCAGAAAAAAGAATTCTGCAAGTGGATCAAACGTTCCAATAAATACTATAGAACACCCAAAGCCAAAACAACCGTTTGCTCTCTCTGTTGATGGGAAGATCGAACGAACGAAGTTCCGCATGTCTTCCGATCACCCACTCATTGTCATGATGACTACTAATGAACTGAATCTGGAGAAATCACGAGTCCACATAATTCCAGCAAGAAACCTGAATCATCATGTTTGTCTAACCCTCCAAGTGCTGACCGAATTGCTATGCGACCACTAGCCTAAGTGTTTAATTCGCGTGCACTGTGTTGAGATATCAGGCGATCGGAGGATGTCGATAAAAGACAATCAATCGATACTTATCAGCAAGGAGTACCAATAGCTCAGTCATACGTCAGATAACATATCAAATAATGAAGCTCAGTATCACGAGTTCAAATCGCACATGGAGCATTAGTTCCTTCAATTTACGTCTTGCTTCAGAGTACCAACTAACACAAAACGTAGGTTCAAGGTTTCTAGTTGACTCGTTCCACTTAACAAAGGAATTGAGGTTTAGGAAATCATAAAACGAGTCTCTGAAGAACTTGCATTCTGAGCGATAGGAACGGAGATGAACGAAATCCTGTACTACAAACGAGAACTATTTTTAAAGATAAGATGATGTATTTAGAATTTTGTATAATAGAGTTTTTGTTGTACCACTCGGTGTATTTATTGGATAGACAACATATAGATATGCCCACACCCATTCCTGTTTAATTAAATTTTTATTCTGAACGTATTTTTTTTCAGTCTTGGTACTGCCCTGTTCCTAAAACAATGAGTGTAGCGAACCTAAACCCTTCTTGTGCTGTTGGATTCTACTGCAGGACTAGAGGAGAACTGAGTGATCTTATTGATAGATTACCTATCCTCATGTCAGTAAGTGGTAATTCCCAGATATCTTCTAGAAGTCGACCTGCTGCATCCACTGTTGAGGTGTTAAATCTCGACCAAACAGAAAATGGACCTTTGTAGAAATATTGTTTTCTTAACGTTTGAATATCCTATTTTTTATACATAACCTCAAATATATTATTTCAATGTATCAACATACATTATCTAATATTGTTATTCATGGATGCAACCTCGTTTTTTTTATCGAAATGGACTCACTTTAACCCAGTTCAGTTTAAGAAACAGCACCTAGTAATTAAAGAATCATTTAAGGGTAACTGTGTATAGCCTTGCAAAGTTTTTATGTAAGTAGTTCATTACAAGTAGAACATTGTCATGTTTGGATACTGTATTGTGGAAAAGTTATATTGACAATAATGAATCAAGTGGTTCTCATGAAACACTATATAGAAAAGAAATTATCGGTTATCATCGAAACGACATATATACTGTCACATATGTGTAAGATTTCAGGGAATGTTAGTTCTAACTCGAAAATTAAAATGCATTAAAATTGGTCTGAAAGTCTTTCAACTAGTCACACATATCAACTTCATGGGGACCCAAAATTCCAGGGACACATGCTTGACGTCTTAGTTTTGCTGCTTGAGCTTGAGCAATTTCAGCTTCCCTTTCTTCCAAATATAAATCAGATAAATCTTCCCCGGCAACCTCGCGTATCTGGACAAGAAAGTCACGCACGTGTTCACGAAATGCTGCCACGTCTTGATCAAATGAAAATAGTCCATCAATAAAAACACGAATTTGTGTATCTTGCAGGTGAGGGAAAACTTGTTTTAATAACTGACTTAAGCTTTGGTGTACATACTGTACATTGCCTTTTGAACCTTGTATGGTTGTTGACTCAGGAGCATCACCAAGCGGAACTGTGATGATGTCGTTCTCCACTATTTTAAACATATAAGCCAACAGTGATGACTGGAGAGTTAAATCTAAAAATGTATAACGATAATAAGGAATATATAGGTTGACATCAACTAGAAGACAAAAAATGTCATTATGGCTTAAAAACACTTACTAGATGATATCGTATTTAATTTGTTAGTGAAAATATAAACTAGCACAATGATCTACTCAATTTAAAACATTTCTGGAATACAGTATTAGTAAAATAGAGTTGTCAGTATATACGGGAAATTTAAAGCAGAAAAATATGATCGAACACAGGTTAGAGACAACAACTGGCTGACCCCTGGATTTTTATCCACAGGCCTGGATTACCAAGATGCTAGGACTAATAAAATGGAAACGACTACATTGTCCACGAACCCAATCCCTTCGAATCTAATAAACATTTACAAATTAATTTATGAGGAAGGAGCATACTCAGACGTTATTCTGCGTGCAATCGTAAGGCGGTGATTTCACAAGCTGCAAATGTTTAAAAATAAATTTACTAGCGGAAAATTTATAAGTAAAAGATACCGGTTTCAGTGAAAGAAATTATCAGAGTGAAACGATTCATAAATAAATGAATCAGTCCCTTATTTCCAAAAAGATATTTACTATAAAGTTATATATAGGTCATAACTTCAAGTAAACCCTTCAGGATGAATTGTTAAGTTCAATTTACATGTGAACTGATATTTTGACGGCACAAATATAAGGTGTATGATCTAGTAAAGAATGAAAATTAAGAATTTGTTGGTTAGCTTTTCAAGATAATCCGCTGATAAATTTAGTTCACTTTGGACAATGAAATATCTGTGAGCTTTAATTTGGACAGAAAACTAATGATACAATTAATAGATTGCATATACTGAATTTTCTAAATACTTACTTCCTGTTTGAGAGCGATCAGTAATGACAGCAAACATGTGCTGAAGAATATCCATGAAGAATGTTTTAAAAAACACCTGGCGTTTTTCGGAATTTGCACCAGACATATTTACAAGCATTGTATGTAGTATATTGAGTCCTGTTTCTGAGACCTGTAGTGTATAAAATCATTGAACAATTAAAAGATCCGTCAACAAGATTGGATGAACTCACTAAATAAATCAATTAATAACGAAGTATAAAGATTTCTGTTCATTACAACTTCACTACAACCATCAGCACTACTACTTTGGTTTTTGGTAAACCGTAGTAACATCTAAGTGGACAATTCGTTTTTTAGGGTTTCGATTGTATTTGTAGCCGATCATAAGAATTATTTATTCTTGAATCCCAACTTTCAGATAGATAGAATTTTCAGCGACATGATCTATTCATAGTTTAAGAAAATTGAACGCTTTTTGGAACAAAAATTTCACTAATATGGAATATACAATAAACTTGTAACTTGGTATCCTGTGTATTTTCAACGTAAACAATCATAATAGACTTACGTGAAATAAAAGCCAAACTTTAGGTGTGTAGATAAAATTTGAATTGCATATCACGAGCAGTCACTCATTATTACGCGTAACAATACTATTGGAAAACTATTCATCATCATATTGAGCGAAGTAACTATATGGAGATTAACTTACTCCCTAAGCATATGTTATTCGCTTTGTATCCAGATAAGAACGAAGAGACACGTTCTGATTTTGAGCAAACTAGCGCAGTTCAGTTTTTTTTATATACAAAACTGTGATGTGTTAGAGATATTACTTAAAGGATGTACGGAATATAAGTTACTCTGGTGTATCTGATAATATATTAGATCCTTCAACTTAATAGCCATAAGAAAAATTAGTGTCAGTCAGCTGCAAGGTAAAACTTCGTACGTACGTGTATCAGGTTGCCGTAACACAAGCACGGAGAAGCAATTGACAATTCAAATCCCACAGTAGTAGAAGTGTTAGCAGTAATGGAGATTAGACTTCGAAGATATTATTCAAGATGAATAATCCAATGGTTTAAGTTTAAAAAGAGGGAGAAAACGTCATCAGGAATTCAGACTAGAATTTGGGAGAACACAAAGAATGGATACACCTGCACCATTGCAAATGATTTTGAGCCATATCACTCAAAGTGTCTAACCATCGGTTACTATTGTCTCACAGACCCAAGCCACATAGTTTACACCTACTAACATGGCCCAGCCCAGTAAGCAATGACTTAGGTTTGTGCCATGCTTTGGTCTGGCCGGCCGCAGCTTTCTTCCAGCCCACCCCCTACATCACACAACATCGCCATTTGAGGTAGTCGGTGGTTGGGCATACGTAACACGTCCCAACCACCTCAAATGATGAAGTTTCATTACTTGCTTGATCTACCATCCTATCATTGTATAAACAAGCTTGATTTGTGTGCTTAGCAACGTCGAATTTTCTGGGTCCTTGTAGAATACATTCTCTAGTCCTTATCAAGACTTCTTGCTTTTGCTAGCATGGTCTGGAACAACGGATTAGAATAGCCTATCATGTTACCGAATCATTGCTCTTCGTTCCGTTTACCAAGTAAGGTGAACTCGTAATAGCATATCTAGCGGTCAACACGCTCAACTTCCTCACTCCCTATCACTAGTTCGAGTGCCGATGCAAAACAATCCTGAGGCAACATTTGCATTTTGACGGGGAGAATCGCATCCCGAACATGCTTGCATTGCTGCTGAAGGTGGTCAGGAGACTTTGGATCTTGTCAGTGACTTGACAATCCAAGTTAACAAGTGAATCTCCCGGTAAAAGTTTCAATTCTGAAAAGTGAGACGATGAAAGTGTTGTCTATGAAAGCATGTCAATGACGAAGTTAAAAGGACGAACACTGTTCGAAGTAATCAATTCTGATGACAATTCATCATAAGCTCCGACTCGACCTATAGTGCTCGAGTACAGAACCTGTATAGGGTTAATGAACTAGGTCTGAAACCAACTTGGTTTCTCGAGTCTGATGTTCACGAGCTCTATTGAGGCATCAAAGTGTTATTGAAGCTAATATTTTGAAAACTATTAGTCGAACTGTTTCATTGTGACTGTCTTTTAGAGGCTGGGACAATCAGTGGTTGAAACCAATTCCGAAATTCTAACGAAAATCGATGACGTGAAAATAAAAACTAGACAATGTTCTAGTTTGTTTTATGCAAAGAAGGTCATTGTAATAAGCTCAAAACAGTAACGATAGTCAAGTTAAGTCGAAATTTAGAGCTCTCAGTATATTTAAATAACTTTCTACAAAATTATCGATTTACATATTATCAGTTTGGCTGGATTTCAAAACGAAATCTCAACGAAAGTATGCAAAATAGCTGTCAACAATCACGAGTTCAGAATGTGGAGGGAGTATGACTACTGGGTCACCAAATATGAATAAAGTCGAGATTACTAAACTTTAATAAGGAAGTAACAGTTTGTGGCAAGTTACTTCAAGAACTTTTTAAGTGCAATGGTCTAGAAATGAAGGTTGAACTTATATTCAAGCAGTACAGGTGGAGCAATTATTTTAATCCTATTTCGATAGGAAGCTGTGAAAGTTTACAAAATCTTACCTGTTAAGTCATCTGAATTTTAGGTCTCAGAGATATCTAAGAGGTGAGCAGAATTTAGGACAAGTTGAAATAATCAAAACGCAACATATGGCTGTTAAATGTAAGATAATACTAAAAGCCACCTTTCACAGACAATATCTAAGTACATCAATTAACAAGCTCATACAAAGGGCTGCATAGACCAATGTGAACGATTAGTCTACTTCTAGAAAGGATTACAGAAACTTCAGTTAATCAACTAACTAATAGTCCTGCCGAAATATTAGGGACAGTATGCTTCCTAACCATATGGTATCAAGATATTGTACTCAACACATGGAGATTACAGTTATTCTATCATAAATAGAAAATACCTAAGATCATGCATAAAGTGATATTAAGACTATCAGCATGAAAATGAAAGACCTGAAAACTTACTTGTCTCATAGTGTGCTTGATTGCCCAAATGACACTATCTAAAATCAGTTTGAACTTATCAGATGTTAAGCTTAACAAAGCAGAGAAACAATGCGCGTTTACAGCTTGCAGAAGGGTAAAGAAATTAGTTCGATGCTCGGGAAATTCTTCCAAGTCTTTATCGATCATCTCCAGAGTCGACTGAAAGACAGCATCTAAAACACGAGGCAGAGCTGGAAGAATATGTCCTTCAAGACAATTAACAAGAGTAGCCATTAAGTTTAGAACTTCTGCCTCTCGAGCAGCGGGAAGATTTTTTTGGTAATCGTCAGCTACGGCGTCTAATAACGGAGGTAAAATATTTTCTGCCACCTGTATTAAAGACAGAAGTAAAAATAGTTTTCAGTTACGATGGTCGTAATTTTAACTAACAAGTTCTAATGGATGCAATATCTAACATTGTAAACAACTTACAAATACAGGATCAGTAGTTCTTTTTATCCAACAAGATAATAGATTCAATATCGCTTTTTTAACTGATCGCATACTGCGAATAAGCGGCTGTTTTGTCACCTGCTCTCCATTGGTAGCCACAGCTTGACCAATATTTTGGGACATTATCTTATAAACATTTAACATGTCCAAGTAAATCCGACCAAGCTAAAAAGAAATATATATTCTTTTAGGATAAGAGTGACTAACTATGAAAAACTAAGTATCAGGGACTTACGATTACGCTTACCTGTACAAGATAAGAATGTCCAAGGGATTTGCAAGCACTGTGATTCGTTTTCAATAAATTACAAAGCTGCTGTACAACTTCAAAATCTCTTAATAAATCAATGTTGCATGCAGCTTGGACGAGAATTCCATCCCAAATCTACACTCAGATAAATTGTAAACGATGGTGTAGAACTTACTTGATTAGGTAAGCGGAAAAGTCTTTCTATTTGCTTGGCCTCAACAACTGAGTCAAGTTGTGCACTAATAATAACTCCTACAGCTTCATAAAATGTGTGAACTTGTTGAGGTTGTAAATCATTGATTATGATATCAATTTCTTTTAAAATCTCCTCAATAAATTCGACTGCTTCTCCGTACTATCCAAATAAGAAATGTATGAAAATTGTATAGCAAAACCAGCATCGACTTGTTAATATATTACAAATGAACAAAAGAATAAGGTATGGGAGTATACTTATAACAAATAGACAATCTTCATGAAAATATGGAACGCCATCTTACTTTTCACATATATCAAACTCAAGTTAACTATGCATTAGGTTGTTCCATTTTACTTTACTGTTGTGAAACATGGCCATTATGAATGGAGAATACTTGGAGGTTACTAGTATTCGATTACAGTTGTCGTCCGAGCATAGCTTATGTATTTTGGGACCATCGACTAAGCAGTGTATGGGTTAGCGGTAGAGTACTACATAAATATGCCAAATCGATTAATGAGGTAGTGAATCTTCTCATCAGTTGAGGTGGTCAGTTACGTATCCCTAACCATTGCCTATCATCTCAAAGAGCAATATCGTCTGATGTAGGAGTAGGCTGAAAGAAAGCTAGAAACAGTCAAATCAAAATACGGTACCAGTCCATGAAGTCGTTGACAACTGAATTGAGCCATTTCAACAGGTGCAGACTTCCTGGTTGGGTTCCGTGTGATCACTGGAATCCATGGTTAAAAACTATGAATGACATAGTTTAAAATTATATGCAACGGCGTAGGCGCACTCACTCTGTCTACTCCTAGATTCTAAGCTTCTGAACTCCTAACAGTTTCCTTTCATTTTACAGAGTTATATCTTCTTGAATCGTACCTTTGGACCATAATGTTTTTTATCACCACTTATGCTGTCATCATTCCAACTACTCTGGGATTCGCTCTGTGGTAATTACTGGCTTATGGCCACCAAAACTTATTTATACATGAATCGATTGTAAAAATACAGGCGAAATATTTTAGAGACAGATGGAAATATGTTAATTTTTGTTTATATAAATCGATAAACATTTCACAGAGCTGCGAAAAACAGACTACGTACCTGTACAGTTACTAATTGTCGCCGACATTTCTGAGCAATTTTAATGAAAGTATCACATGCCATATCTTGCACACCTTCATGCGTTTCATGCATAAATTCAAAAAGCTTCGTAATTACAGTTTTTAAGAATCTCCAGTGTGCGCGTAAAAATCGGGGATATTGACCAACAACGTACATGATATTACTCGCAACAATAGCTTTATTATCTTTTCCACGTTTTTGTTCACACAGTCCAAGAAGGTCTCGAATCACAATAACTAAAAAGCTTCTTTCATCATCTTCCTGCATAGCACCAGAGATGCTACCAATTGCCCAGCAAAGAGTGTTAAGGTTATGCCATGACCACTCTCGCCCATCCACTTGGTGTTGCAGCTTTTCGATCATAATCTTCTTTGTGTCCTACAAATAGTAATTTTACTATTATTAATAAAGTCGGAAACTTCGGTTTAAATGAATCACTGAAAACCAAATGTTATATAGGAAACGTATAAATTGCGTAGGGATGTATTTAAAAAGTATCTCTATAAAAACATCTTATTCAATGACGATTGACTGAGAATACATACACTTCATAATAAAAATATATTGCTCTGGACATTGTGAACACTTAATGCAATCTAAGCCCCTATAACGTTTTAGGATTGGCTTAGCCAACGTTTTGTAAAATAATACCATGTAGTAATTTGCCTGAATGGAAGTTAGTACTAGTTGAATGATAAGTGCAGTTTCTTGGAGGAATTAATACGGACAAATCCATGGATATATTTAATTTTATCACGATTTATATTTTCAGACTGTAAATTTTGCGAGCGGCTCGCATGTAACTCAGTGTTTAAAATTACAAGACAAGTTTAACAAATAAGTATTGACTACTAATTGAGGTGGCGAGTCTGTTAATTCAACTGTATTTGAACTATTATTCTGATATATAGACAAACCTCTAGTTACATTAAACTATTATATTCATTTACGAAAAGTTTGCTAATTTAGTAGTAAGTGATTTCTAAAAAATTGGTACAGCTTAAATGAAAAATGGTCAGGAAAATACCTTGAGCGGAAATATATTTTGTTTTCCTTAATCACAATTAGGATGAATCTATGACGATTTAAAAACACGATATTGATTCTTCATATATCTAGTCTATTGATTCTGATAGTTTACTTTGAGAAAAAACGATATGTCAATAAATTTTACAACAATTAATGCTTAAGAAACCCAGTTTCTTATTACATGAACACCTAACGACAACGTGTAACATTGAGAGAATTAACAATATTCCAATGGTCACGGTGAAACAAGAATTTCGAAACATTTACACTTAGATTGCTATGATAACTCATCTTTAAATCAATGTAGGTTAGTAAACTAACACACGTTTAAGTATTCTATTTGTGAAAATTATACTTGAAACGATCTCAGCAAATGAAATTTAATAATTTCCAATTTTTTAAGTATTCTGCTTCATTCAAACTTGTTATTATGGAGGTCAGTAATACTACTCTACTTCCTCAACCAATGCAAGAAAGGTGTGATTCGAACAAGCAATGGTGTAAGAGAAAATTACTGCCTAAATGGTAAGCAATCTTTCAAAGGTATACGGCCGTCGAATTTTTTCTTTTGAGTTCAAAAATAATTAATTTGGTTAGTAACTTGAGAAGGCATTTATCTCTTTATACTTATTATGCCCTTATTATGAGATTTTTGGAGACAATAAATGTCAGGCGCAGTGAATGAAATGGTGTAAAATTCTCGTTTCATGAATATATTACTTATTAGTAATCAGTATTCATCCACTTTTTTTGTATCTCACTGGCTGGAGAAACTGGCTATGTTCTAAATAGTTAGAAATTTTTTGCATAGAAAACCATTTTGAAACCGCGACCCTTTTACGAATAACTTCTTGTTATTGCCTTATCACCTTTAGTGTAAGCTTAAATTTATCGCAGCACTAAACTTATATTATTTATATACAAAATATATATATATATATATATATATATATATATATATATAATTCCCGAGTAGCAAAGATAGTCTTCTGACTTAAATAGACCTTAGGTAAGTTATTCAGGTGAATTCAACATACAGTGATTAAGAATGAATTGCCAACCAATTTTTGTAATACCGAAGATTAAAGACAACTAAACATGAAGAAGTAACCTAAACATGTGAATATAACTAAATAGAACTTACTGAATAGTCCAAATGAGTTAGGTAAACCAATGTTTCACGCATGCTCTTGTACAAATTAAGACTATCTGTATCCTTCATAAACTCTCTGACAACCTCTCCATGTTCATTTTCAACTACAAGTACTTCTTCAGGACGAGCCATGCGTGAAATCATGATTCTTCGGAGCTGCGAATAGGAAAGACGTCGAACAAATAATTTAAGACTAGATGAACTTAAAACTGTAAAGAAAACGAGTTACCACAGTTTAGGTGGTTTTCGGTCTCAATGTGGCACAAAAATTTAGACATTAAAGTCCAGACTTTCTGAAGTTGGTAGACAACAGAAATTAGCAAAGATGATAACACAAATGTTACCGTTTCTCTATACAAAAAATATATATGATTTTAACAGAAAACAACAAAAAAGCACACGTCGGTACTAAAAGATGGTAAAACTGAGTAGAGACAGATGAAGAACAGTGGAGATACATCTGACTATAAGATATAGTAGGATGTGATGGTATTCCAACAGAGATGCATATCGTCCACTGTGAAAAGATCTATTTTATTTTCAGTTGTTCAGAATAACGATTTCTAAATAAAAATTAATGCATCCAACTCTCGAGTCAAACTAATCTCAATATGAGAATCAAATGATCAAAATATTCACTCAGGTAATTTCAAAATATGTTTGCAAACGCACACCCTTTTTATTACCATTACTACTGTCACCCCATTCATAGTAAACACAAGACACCCAAGAGCGATAATGAAAACTATTTTTTCAATTGCCATGACTAAAGTAACACGCAGAATAAATTGTGATCGGTATCTACCATTTCCAATACCGATATAAAAATCATCTTATTAACCCTGTATTAAGTAAATTAGATCATTTACATGAAAGTGGGAATACCTTCGATAAAATTGCTGCATATTGTTTACTTCGACCTTCACCAGTGGCGGATTCAGCTAATGTTCCAACCACAGTAGTTGTAAGACTTTCTCGATATAGGTCAGAAACTAAAATATTCCAGTATTCTAAGCAAATCTTGAATATTTCCCTTTCCTCGACTTCGGAGAGCATCAAAAGATAAGCATAAGCATCTTGTAACTTCCAAATAAACTCAGGTTTTTCGACGAGACTGCTATGAACTTTGAGGAACGTTGTGTAGAAAATCGCCAAGTTTTGGATAAAATTTTGTTCATCATTACTTCCGCGTTCGTACGCTTCTTTTAATCGTGTTTCCAGGGGCAACATCTGTATAACAGTTACTAAATAATATTTGCAAACTCACCTCTTTTAATTTTTCGGTAGTAGAAACAAACAGTTCTACTAGCTGAGTATCATATTCTTCAACTAGCACTACACCCGCTGTACGAAAATATTTCAATACAAAAATAAAACATACCTATTTCTGCAAGACATTTCAAAGTGACATTTCGGAACAGAGGGACATTGAAGAATTTAAATACCAGAGTTTGTATGAGATTAGTTTCAAATATATATCCTAGAGGAATCCAGTGCATGAAACGAAGTAGCGTCTCCAGCGTCGACACAACTAGAGATGCGTTTTGGGAGTTTTCCAGGACATACTGACAAAGTTGGAAAATCAAGCTGAACTGCTGACACATAGAGTCTTTTAGATGTTTGGCTTTTGTCTGAGTCATTTGACCCAAAGAGAAGTCGAAAACTTCTTCGCTTAACAGACGCAAGATAACCATATTGTTTTGACATAAAGATTCGTTGGTTTTACTTGCTCCAACAATGTCACTGATGAATGTTGACCAGTTATTAGGCCATTCATGTTTTAATATCTGAAAGAAAATAAGTCACATAAAAATTCTCACCTCAACCAGAATCATATTTAACTTTCCAAGATACGTCTTTTCCGACTCCAAGAGTTCTGAACTAGATGATGTTTGGATGATCAAACCGACAATGTACTTTTTGATACCTAAGAAAATAGTTTCGGGTAACAGTACTGGCTACCTTCACATTGAGGCCGAGCTAAGACTTTCCAACGTGTTTTGATCAATGCTTCAAGTATCTGAAGCGCGAAATACTTCGTTTCTTGGTTTGAACTAAATTCGAGAATTGAATCTACACGCATCCATGCATCTGGATGTTCCTTGAGTGTGTTTAAAACTTTTTCTGCGATTTTTTGTTGATCCCCTGCTTCATGATACATACAGTTTACAACGCGGTCTAGAAGTCCAATATCGAGGCGCTGAGAAAAATCTAAAAGTTGAGCGGCAGCAGACTCCGATATTGCTCCCATCGGTGACGTTGGTGGCATGTATTTTGAAGTTGTAACTAAAAGGTATAAAATATTTTTTGAAGTATTTTAACGTCCGTACCAATATTAGTTTATGAGTAAACACAAACTACAAAGATGTACAATCCGATTTATGCCGCTGTCTAAATATCGTGATAAATGTACACGATTGAAACTTGGAACTACGAGAAAATAGGGCGATAAGGCAGTTGTATGTTTAGTACTTTGAGTTAAAATTACGAGCTCACTTAAAGAACAAAATTCAATTACAAATTTACAATGTATTGAGAAATTTAAGCTGGTTGGTTACGCTTTATACTTCCTACAAACTGTTGATTAATATTTAAATGAATGATACATAGGTAATAACAACCCTTACTACATAGAAAAAACTTTAAAAGATAAATACTGACTGTATATTGGCATCTCGAAATGCTCTCACATGATAACGCATGCATAGCCACTGTCGTGGAAGTCCTGCTCATTGCCTTTACGTGGCAGGAGTGTTGTTTACGAAATGAGAAGGGTGAAAGGTGAATGTATGGCGCTTTTAGCCAGGTTGAAGGGTGCGGAGGATCCATCAAGAGTCTGACCTTAAAGCGGCATTCGACTCAGTTGATTGTGAGGTTCTGTCACAGTGATTGTCATCGAATGGTGTACAAAGGAAGTACATAAAGTTACTGAAAACTTTGATGAACCATGTTAGCAGGTGAAGACTACCTGGTTGGGGTCCATAAAACGATAGTAACCGATGGCTAGACACCTTGAATGACGTGGCTTAAAATCGTTTGCTGTGGCGCAGATGTATTCAATGTTTATGCTCTCTCAAACTCTAGTCTTCTGAATTCTTCATCACCTCTATCTTTCTTTTTCTAAATTTATTTTACTGAATTTTACTTCTTGAATAATTTCTTCGCATCTTAAACTTCTCCATTACCCCTAACACTTCAACTACCTCTGCTGCTAGGAATTTGAATTAGCATTTCGATCTCTGCTACTATGGAATGACAACTTGAGCTGATATACGTATGTACGAAGTTCCACGTTGTTGCTGATTGACTGAAGGATGAATCTACTCAATTATTATTATGATCTCACGAATATTTCCAGGACTCGCTGAAGTACGGTAACAAATTCCGTCTATTTGATAAGAAGATCAATCAATCAATCGCAACGCAGGACTTCGTACGTACGTACGTACATCAGTTAATGTTGTCATACCACGTTAGCACAATGATGTAATTCTCAGCTCAAATCCAATAGTAGTAGAGGTAGTAAACGTATTAGCAGTAGTCGGAGAGGTTAGGATTAGAAGTCAGTCAGTCAGTCAGTTGCAACGTAGAACTTCGTACGTATGTACATAAGTTCATGTTGCCATACCACATTATTAGCACAGAGACGCAAATGTCAAACCAAATCCCATAGTGATAAAGATAGTAGAGGTATTAATGTTAATTAAGAAGACTAGGGTTTGAAGATATTATTGAAAAAATATAATTCAGTGAGATAAGGTTAGAAAGACAAAGGTAGATGAGCTGACGAATCCAGAAGATTAGGATTTGAGAGAGCTCAAAGAGTGGATGCACCTGCGCCATTGCAAACGATTAGGTCTCTAACCATTGATGACTTTCGTCTCGCGGACCCCAACCAGGTAGTCTACATCTACCAACATGACTCAGTCCACTTGTCAGTGACTTCATGGATTTCTGCCATGTTTTGGTCTGGCCGCCCCTAGCTTTCTTCCAACCTACTCCTACACCACAAAACATAGCTCGTCGAGGCAGTCGGTGGTTAGGCATACGTAACACGTGTCCCAACCACCTCAACTGATGAAGTTTCACCACTTCATCAATTGATCTGCCATCCTTACCTTGTACTCGTTTCCTAACCACAGCATAGCTTACTCGATTGTCCCACGATATACGAGCAATGCTTCTTAAACATCTATGATCGAATACTAGTAACCTACGAACATCTTCTACTCTTAACGGCCATGTTTCACAGCCATATAGGAGAACGGAGCGGACTACCGCACAGAACAATCGTCCTTTAGTCAGCAAACGGATATCTCAGCTGCGCCATAAGTGATGCAGGTTGGCAAAAGCCAATCGAGCCTTCTGTATCCGAGCTGAGATTTTGTCAGTCACCAGGCCATCGGCACTGATGAGACTCCCCAGATAAGTGAAGTGGTCTACACGCTCGACTACTTCACTCCTTATCACTAGTCCATGTGCCGATGCAACCCAGTCTTGAAGCAACATTTTGCATTTCGAGGGGGAAAACCGCATCCCGAACATGCTTGCATTGCTGCTTAGAGTGGTCAGAAGACTGCATTTTGTCGGCGTCTTCACCAAGTAGGACTATGTCATCGGCATATTCTAAGTCAATAAGCGAGCCACCTGGTAAAAGATCTCCTCCTGAAAATTCAGACGACGATAAGGTTATTTCTAGGAGCATGTCTATGACAAAATTAAACAAGAATGGGAAAGTGGACATCCCTGACAGACACCACTTGAAGTATAGAACTCCGGTGACAGTTCACCATAAGCCCTCACTCGACCAGTGGTGTTCGAGTAGAGAGCTTGTATAAGGTTAATGTACTTCTTTGGTACACCTTTCAATGACAGACACTGCTACAGAACCTCACG